GATTCAGTTGAGTAGACCGCTTCATGAGGTTTTGTTACGGTCGGGTATCACTCTCTAGTGGCGGGTTGCCTGCGCCACTAGTAGAGCAGGCTTTTGTACCCTAAATGGTCTTTATTTCAGCAGAAGCGTCGAATTATGGTTTGCTTAGATGACGCCAAAGGCCTGTCGAGCAAGTATGGCGTTTCGAAACCGTCGAAATGTTCAGCATATCTGTTCTTCAGATGAGTTGCTAGTATGCTTTCATATGAGCATCCCGCGGAGTATTTTTAGGTCCTTACTCCGTTCCACTGTTATTAGTCCCACGAGTATTAATGATTACTACTATCTGTAGTAGCACTGGCTGTGTTAATCTTGGTGGTACTGTTTGCAGTTCCACTATTAATAGTACTACCTGTAATAACAGTAGCTGTGTTTTACTAGTTCTAGCGTTAATTGTACTACAACTTCTAGTAGCATCATACTGCATCTACTAATAGTGGCATTGCCAGTATCACTACTGGCAGTGACACCGCCCGTGTTAGAAATACTACAGATACTAGCAGCATCGTTACTGCCATTTTAACTGTCACTTTTACTACCAGTGGTACTGTTAACGATTCCACTATTAGTAATATTACAAGTGGTAACTCTAGGAGAAGCGGCATTAATGCTACTACTGTTACAGTGCTGGCACTGTTACTACCAGTAGCACTATTGGCAGTGCCATTATTAAAATTACTTGTGATAATAGCATTCGCCGTTTTACTAATGTCAGCGTTGATAGTGCTACAACTGCAAATGGCGTTATTGATACTGATAATCATTGATAGTACTGTTGATAGTAGTAAGTCGAGTGAAGATCTTGGCTGTTGCACATGGTAGGTATTTGCATGTCACCAATTCGTGCCATAGAAATATGCGATGCAACTGAATTGAAGGGGGAAAGGACTAAGCAAGAACAAATGCACACAGATAGCCTGTAATTCTTCATCCAAATGACTGTAGTAGTTCTAAATAATATGTACATTAATTTAATCATGCATTCCTATCAGCGGAAAAAGATGGATGGCTCCACGCGTCAGCATTTAGTCAGCCGAACAGCTACTGAGCACGATTGAGGGCGTTAGTATGTTCTCCGATATACCGGTTAAACATACGAATGAAGATTGGCTTTGCCTACCGATTCATCTTCTGCAATAGCCCAGTCAGAGGTTGTTCTGGCTCGTAATCAGTTACTGGATTTTGTGGGTTTGCGCAGGCTCATTTTTCTATGGTACTAGTAGCCGTACCATCAGTAGTAGTATGAGAGTTGATCCTATCGTTGGTACTACTGTTACATGTACCAGATTTTTTAGTATTAAAAGTAGTACTGTTTTATTAATTGCTGCTTAAATGTTCATAATACTAGTGGCATTACTGTTTCTGGCATTATCTGCTGATATTACCATTAATGGTATTGCTGCTGTCAGTTTTCTTTATTCATAGTAGTAATAATAAAAGCAGTGATAGGTCTGTTGGTACCTTACAGTTGCATGGAAGTTCCTTTCCTTTACCCTTGTTATCGTCCGTTGTAACACGTAAAGTTGCAGCTGTTTACAAAACTAAAATTTATTTATACTTAGATTAGTTTCGACATGAAGGGCGAAACTTAGACGCTGGGTTATATTTCATGAATGTGCGTTTCAAGTTCTGTAGCATTGTTCGCCTATACTGGAGCCAACCAAGCTCCCTTGAAATTCATGCTTTCGCCGTCGTACCTGAAGCAATGCGGATGCACCAGGAATATTTTTATTATAATATATACGCAGTCAACTTCGGCATCAAACCTGCTGTCCCGCGGTATCTTTGAAGCTTCACAGGGGTGGGGCTTGATGCGCGTCTTTATTCTTTTGACATTCCAACTGCCAGTTAGCGTCCCGTGCTTCCTCTGATATTCCTCTATGTTGAATGGCACTCGTTTTTGCTGACCTTTCATTGTTTAAATAGTGTTTGGTCATCCCTTTAAAGCATCGTCCTGTTGAACGACTAACTGCTGTAGAGCCAATATTCTTTGCCTTGTATTCGAATCAGTGGAGATATTTGTTTGGACCGCAAATTTCTGAATCTGCAACATCCATCTTCCAAAAACAGATCAAGGATATGAAAATAAATTATTCGTGAATTTTGTTTGTGATGCATATTTCTTTCAGAAATCCTTCAAATCTGCCAGCTGCGATTTCCGGCGTTTCCGGCGACATGACCATGGTCACCGTCACTCATCGAGCAAATCTGGTCAGCAGCGATCATTCATTCCATACAGAACGTCTCACCGTCGACCGCCGCAGAAGGCTTCTAATTTGATCGTTATTCAGACGGTGTCTGAGCCTCGCCACAAGAAACGCCATGGTTCGCCGACAGGGTCTGTGCTGCCTCAAGATCGCACCATTGTCTCCCCGTTCTCGAACTTGAAACCAGTTCACAAAAGTATGCTTTCAATTTCATATAGTGTTTCAGGCCATTGTCCAGGGGATGTTGTTAACAACATACGAAGGCATTCTACAGCTTACTCTAATGATAAAAGTTTATTTACATACGCGATGTCAAAATTTGCTATTATTTTCGTTAGTAATGGTTATCCTATCATTTGTTACGCTCCTACTGAAACTCTTGTCTATCCACGTCTAATCGTAATATTACTGTCCTTCGTTTTAATTTAATCGTTATTTTACTACTGAAACGTTATTCTAATCAGATTCAAATAATATAGAAGATGTGCATTACTTTGCACAGTCAGTTGTTGTTATTCTTGGCGATGAACGTCAGCTGAGCTTAAACGGAGTCGTAACCTAGATTTATGACATTCCGTTAGACATGGTATCTCAGATTGAGACTAGGCAATGTTCGCTGCTGCGGCAGAAGTAACATTTCTGCTTGCAGGCAGTTCTGTCTCAACGAGGTGATTCTACGTTTTGTGTTGTCCTCCGGCATTTCTACCGCCAGCGCAAGGTTCTCAAGCTAGAGTGGTTTTGAACAGATTTTCATTTTCTTTTGCAGCCGTTTTGTCAAATTTAGTCAGGGGCCGGTCTCTGAGTTTATTATCTGATTTTTTCAGGTCGCTTGCATGCCATTAGCAGCAAACAAGTCAAAATCATAGACAGAAACACATCATAACATCATTGATAACACCAGAATACCTGAAACTACCTGCAAAGTTTCCAAAATTCTTGTTCTTCAATCTTTCCGTATATTTCTTTGCCTTTCACTGTTTACTCTTAACTATTTTTGCTCCCTTTTTGATATCCATACAATATGCGGTTATTCAAATATGGTTTACTGTACTGCACTTGTTCAGGGTTCCAAGTCGTATCTGGTAAATATTTTATTCGCAGATTTACTACCGTGTACTACCTTATTCATTTTGCATTCAACTTTAAGAGGTAGTTTTCACTTCATCGGAATAATTTATTTATACTTTGCTGAGCACCAAGCTTTTAAATTCGGAAGGAGGAAAACTTTTGTTGGATGGACGACGGTTATGCGGTATCCTCACTGGTAATTGACAGGTTAAACCCGGATGGTTGTATTTAACATTTGGACTGGCACCGTTGCTCCACCCAGTTAGGAAATTTGTGATATATCGGATTATGAATTCGCATCCCTATTGCGGAGGGCATACGATGACTTAAGTCTTAACTTGCATGTGTGACGGGATGCATGACATACTGTAAATGCTTAATTGAGCAAGGCCTGGGAAGTATTATGTTGTTTATTAAAAAATTTAAGTTGATCTGCCAGCGTTGTGGTCACAATTTGTCTAGACTGTAAGACAACTGTTTTTGTAAAAGAATAATCTGGCTATACATGGCAAGAATACACAAACGTGGGACACTTGTGTTTCTCACAAAAGAATCATAACCTATCCCTAGATTTACTGTTGTAAATCGTTCCATGTAACAAGTTCTTAAGGTGAAAGTCGAAACATTAATTGCAGTGTGAAAATTCTCATTAGCTACTGACACCTAGGAAACCCTCACGTAATATTTTTTCTATATGGAATTATTTCCAATCGTAAAAATATGAGCACTTGTTTTTGTGAGTAACAGGAGTTATTGGGATAATGGGGGTTAATTTTTGGACATTATCTATTTGACCTGTTAAATTAAATTTGATCACTGTTACAGTAGTTGGGGATCGAGTATTTAGTTTCTGCGTTGGCAGTCATACCAAAAACAAATTAATACGACGTTATGATCAGTTATGATGCTAAAGACTTGTTTATTAATATTCCAGTTGTTGCAATCAAAG